AATTACTGTAAAACTACATTAAGGACAAATATCAATCACACAGGTGGAATTTCTATAGCTGCATCAGAGAAGTCAGACAGCAAAGAGAGATGAGCTTCAATACTCAAAGCAACATGTATTCAGTGTTACGTGAATCTGATTGGCCAGAAAGAAGGATGTATTTAATCCGGGCTGTTGCTGTCCCAACTGCTGCTGATTCCATCAAATCTGTGTCATGCTCTCTATTTAGGACCGCACCATGTAATATAAAAGCATGAAATCCTATTGTAGCATTGCAACTTTATTATCTTTTCAAAAATTAATAATAAAAAACACAATCCTCTTAATCTTTATAGATTTTTCTGGTGAAAAAGGTAAGTTGACCTGTATCCCACTACCCTCAAAACTTGAGAGGGAAGGCAAGAGGTGGTCAGTGAGAGAAAGAGATGGTTCCTCGCTGTCTTTCTTTGCTTTTCATCTCTGCTGAAAGAAGACGAGTAACTGCTCATTGATCTTGGCTGGTAGTCAGCATGGTTCAGGGATGGGAGAAGCTGTGTTGTGTAGATTTCTGCTGCTGTTAGCTGGAGACTTCGGAAACAAAAATCCCACCTGTCCCCCTTGACCACATGTGTCAGGGAGAGTAGAACCTTGATCGAACCTTAATGAGCTCACCAGGGACAATAGGACACCATTTGCTTCATGTTGGCAAATGAAAAATGAGTGTAAGGGGAAACTAAATAAGTCAAATAAATACATAGAACACTAGACTATAAAAAAAAGGACAAATAGGGAAAAAAGGTTTGAGCTTAGACACAGACTTGAAGGTCAAAAATAAACCTGGTTTAAAATCTAATTCACATGAATTTATGAAAGTGGATAGTACAATCCTTTAGTTTAGCTTATAAAAACGTTTAGAAAATGAGTAAAGCAAGGAAATTCAAATCTATCAGCTTTGACTTATAACCTTCACACAACTATCCAAGATAAGTCTCCCATAAATGTATTTTAGTACGACATGAAACTGTAAACATAACTGATAAAGATTTCGCTGTACTGACAAAAAAAAAAAAAAAAAAGTCATGTTATCAGATGTATTAGATAGTGCTGACGATGATTTACGGTCTCCTTATTTTGTTGTATTAAAAAGAGAAAAATGAAACATCTAAATTTCTTATAAAGTCTACTACAACGGCAGTCACCAAGTAAGACTGATGAGACTTCTTATTAATCTTTACAGGTTTTAGTCCTCCGAAAAGCTGCCAGTAAAACAAAAACACAAAAACCTACTGAATCTCTTTGAACCTAATGAATGAATGTCTAAAACAGATGGAGACGAGGGGGAAAAAATCATCTATGAAGAATAAAGGCAATGAAAGAGTCATGCTCTTGATAAAACAATACCCTCTTTGCCAGTGAATGAATAGTTGAAAATCAATTTTATATAATATATAGCACTGCAGCCAAAACAAAAAAGCAAATACATTAGGGGATTCATCTATAAGGGAGAATTACAAGGAGGCATGTTCAGTGAAGAGCTTTTACGGCCTGTTGTCAATCACAAAGATCTGCTGCTTAAAAATAGATCATCCAATGCAGAATGATTCTATTGAACCAGCTTTAAACCCTATTAGGGGGAACCAGGGTGATGAGAATTCACAGTGCAATAAGGGAGAAACATGTGGGGGAGATGTTTTGTGGCAAAAATAAACAATGCACCAGAAAGGTGAGCAGAGTTTTTTTTATTATTTTATTACTGTGGCAGCTGAGCTTCCTGTCACATTGAACCAATTTAACTCAAAGGAAGAGCACAAAAACAGCATAAGCTAACAGCAGAAAGTAAAACCTCTCGATTAGTCCAAAGTACAGAGTGTTACCACTTCACATTAAAAAAAGAAAGATCAACTAGGTTTTTTGCTCACATTCCATTTCTCTCAAGAAATCCTGATGATAACATTCAGGTTAACATTCGTTCGAGCAATCACTCTTTCACAAATTACCCAAATCATTCCAAAGTAACCTTTTTTCCACATGAAAATTATGCCAATATTGTAAAAATGACTTGATCGTTTTGATGCAGCAATACAAATGTTCCTGATGCACTCTTCCAACACTGGAGATATATTTCTGTTGGCTCTCTAAATCGACTGTTTGTTCAATGTGCTCCTAGGGAAAAAAATCCTTTAATTGTGCAAACATGTTACCACAGTAACTCAATATTCTGCCAATTACACAACCAGAGACTGTACACTTTGTCATTGTGAGACCTTCAACTTCACTGAAAAGGGCAAGGCAAATTCATGCTTTTTGGGAAATTTGATTTCTGCCATTTCTCCAGGAAATCTCCCTCCTTGATTACAAAGCAATGACTGACATGCACAACATGGTTCCCCGCCTTGTTTTCTCCCAACAGAAGGAAAAAATAAACAGCACTTCCCCGAGAACCCAGACGTGGCTTTACTAATTCATTTTAACGGGGGATTTAATTTAGCTAACATTCATCAAATGAGTCACAGCCATTGCATCAGCTGTCATAATCTTGAAGATTTTGTATACAGACGACACGTCCCGGCTATAATTAGCACCAACTCATGTTCTCTGCACAGTCAGAAAACATCCTGACCCACTGGGAAACCTTCTGTCACTTACACAAACAGTCCAGGATGAAATTAGCAGGAGTGGCCTGACATTTAAGTCTTTTAAGGCAGGCAAAAGTGTGATTCTGATGGCCATTTCATCCAGCCCTGTCACTATCCCCAACTGAATCTGTTGACTGCTTAGTGAACCGGGCTGTGAGACATCAATCTTCTCAGCAACATGCTTTGAAGCCCTCCATTCCATCTGCTTCCAGCCTTGTTGCACCTTGCCCTGCAGGGATGGCAATGAGCGATGCTTTCACAGGCTTTGCATGCATCTGATTAGCATACCCGCAGACAAAGATTCACCATTTCCACTTTCGATGAGGGCACGTGTCACATGTGCAGCTCGCCTTGCTTATAGGAGGCTTTCTGTTGCTAAAAACTGAATACATTGTACAACATCATGGATGAAATTCTCTACAATGCCTCTTAATCTTTTCCAATTCAGTCCATCCCCCTCTGTCTTTCTTTGTGCCCCTTACTCTCCTACATAAAAATATCTGCAATCCCTCAACACCCGGCTTCAGCATGACACTTTTATCCTCTTTAAACATCTCCATAAGTCTTCAACAAGTTTCCAGCCGGTTGTGACTGAGAAATAACAGCTCCCCTGCGACAGCATCCGTTTAGCACAGGGAACACTTTTTCTCTTTGCCCCCTATGAAAAAAAAAAAGATTTCCCTATCTTGTAAGTGTAGAGGACAGAATATAGCTTCCCAAATCAAGGGGAGAAGCTTAGCTGAGCAGAGATGCCTTCTCTTTCTCATCGCAACAGATAAGAACAGAGGTCTTCTTGTCCCTGCTGAATTCTATCATCTAACAGGTCCTGCCGATCCAAATGCCCCACAGCACCAGCCGCAGCATATAAATGCGCCTCATTCTTCTAGTGTGTGTATGTGTGTGTGAGAGAGAGAGTAGGGGAGCATTTAGGGGAATATGTTCTCATGGCAATGGCGTTTCCTGGAGTCTTTGAGCAAAAAGACTAAATGAAGAGATGCTTATATCAAGATGAGGGATGATTTGGCAGCTGAAGGAGGACTTTGTGAACTGTGCACATAATTTGAATTATCGGTCTGCAACAAATTCAGAATTGCTTGCAAAAGTTCCCATTTGTTGCAATTAACTTCAATCTCCTTCCAGATTATGCTCAATTAAGGAAAGTACAAAGCCCACCATGTTTCCAAAGGCTGATTGATAAGTGAGCTACAAATTGTGCATGTAGGAGGACACAGGGATGGGTTCAGCCTGACTGAATAGCAGCCTCTGTTTCCCTCGTTTTGCCAGGAGCCCTGAATGCAGTTCCTCATTAATGATACAGCGGAGACATCATCTCTGTTTTTAAATAGAGAGGCTTCCCACCATTAATTTCTTCACAGCAGATTTTAAGTGTCGGGCATGGTAAACACACAAGGAACAGTCTTACATATAACATAATATGGTGCTAAATGAATTGCTTATCCAAGAAAATGTGGCATTTCAATGGTTACCGACAGCAGGAAACCCCAATCCAACTAAATGGGTTCATTTAGATACCAAATTATGAGTATTTGTTGGTGGAGAAATAAATTTGGCAGTATTTGTGATATTCCTCCAACGCAAACCGTTTGAAATTTCTATTTCAAGGAAATCGAAAAGAAAACAAATGCTGTAAAAGTAAAGATGTTTTCTTTACAGATGTGGCCATTTCCTCAGAGGCACTAAGCGTGTTAGTCTGAGCCTACCTGTTAATTTGTGATTCTCTGGTGTTGGTAGGGTGCCAGATTCCCACTGGGCTTCTCTTCCCGAGATGTTGCCCTTCTTCTGGTCTTCCTCACCAAACCTTCCACGGGTTGGGGGTGGGGGGAATCATGGAAGCAAAAAGTAAGTGTTTCTTGAATTAAAAGCAAACTTAAAAAAATAAAAAATAAAAATAAAAAGCCACCTCGACGGAAATACCTGGTTCAATCCACTCGGGCCGGCAGGTGGGACTTCATGATCGGACAGCAAAAACAAAGCTGCTTTACGGCGTTAGAAACCAGTAAGAGCCTCGGGATAGCATGATTCCCCGTCGGCGCAGGGACGCTCGGCGTGACTCGGCTCGGTCCTCTCCAACAAGACGATAAATTAATTTATTTCTGGACAGACAGGTTGGTCAGTGGAAAAAAAAATCCCTTTAGGCTGCAGGGAGGATATTCAAAGGCAAAATAACCCCCCACCCCATCGCCCGGGCGCGTGTCGGTTTAATTAATAGCCTGCAAGTAGAATCACCTGTGCTGAGCAATGAGCTCAGCTGTGTGAGCGTCTCAGTTCTTGGACGTTTCCTCTCCCTCGTTTCATTCTGAGTTGTCGTCGATAAAAAAATCCACGGCCAGTGCCTTCAAAGATGCCCCGAACACCGCTGCGCACCGACTGTAGTCACGGCGAGAACCTTCCGAGAGAAGGACGCTCGGTGCGCGGCGTATCTGGGCTGCCTCCTGAGCTGCTGCTGCCGCTGTGTGGGAGCCGCGACCGCCTCGGCTCGCCGTCGCATGCGCGCGCACGTGCTCTGCCTCGCAAAGGCACGCTGGCACGCTCCTAACCCGGCGCGCGCCGCAGTGTCCTCCCCAGCAAGCTGGTCGCCCTGGCAACGCTTTCCGCTGACCTCAATATGGTCGCTTTTTTAGTTAAAATGTGTTGCGCTAAGCGACGTTTTACACCGCGCGGACGGCCCTCAAACACCCCGCGGGGGGTGGAATTGGTCGTAAATCCACAGTTCTACAATCTATGCGGGATGTCGCAGTCTTTTCCTGCAGAGGGCTGAGAAATTTGTGCTGAGGAGTTTCATTTTTTTTTCGGCATCCCTGTCATCCGCTCCTCCGCTCGCATCCAGCCTGGCTGATCTGCATCAATGTGACGTCAGAGGACGTTAAAGGGATACGGTCTTTTTTTTTTCCCCTTCATCCTCCCACATCCACCAAGTATCCTTTCATTAGGCTACTTTTTCACCATTTATCCACACTCTCACTATCGATCTCTTTCCTCCTGGCTCAGAATATTCACAGGGCCAACTCACGATCTTTCTGGGATAAACTTTCATTAAACCCTATTGTAAGTCTGCAATAAGATATAAGACGGAATTTGGAGTCAAACCAATTTCATTAATGTGACGTAGTGCACAGAAAATGACTCTAATTGCAGAAACTTCCATTAGACATGTATATCACAGAACTTTGTGCTGCGAGCTGCTGCCACCAGCAGCTTGCACGATTATTATTTTTATGTTTTACTTTAAGGGATAATATCCATCTAACATCCATCACCGCTGAGTCCCAGATCTCATCAGCGCAGATGGTAATGGCAGTGTGGTGGCAGCACCTGCTTCTCTGGATAAAACACAGCCACATGTCTGTCTTATTATCGGGGTCATAACACAGCCAAACATCTGCCTCAGTCACTACCCCACTGCAGAGCCATGTATCTACACTTGGTGGGCTAATGCCTGCCAGGACCTTGCAGCACACAGAGGAAAATACTCCAGCGAAATCTCTTGGACCCATCTTTGCCTGTCACTAGATATACCCTAATGGCACCAGTTTGCTTCAAGGCAGCAAGCAGCTCTCATTTTAGATAAGATTTGTCTCCTAACACCCATGGCTTGCTGTTCATTTGCTTCCTCATTTAAAGTGAAGACAGAAAAACAGGCACTTTTCTACTTATGTGTTGAGTCAAGCTGTTCTCAGACAGCCAAAACATCACGTCAGCCTGTCCAGCTTTTTTTCCCCCCAGACCCCCTAATATGCCTGAGGGACACAGCTGAGGTGGAGGGAGAGATGAGGGTGGAGGCAGCAACAGGGCTAGGATCTACACTTTTAAGACAAATTGTCATTGCTGGAGGATGTGCACTCCCTTTGTGATATCCCATCAGGCCAAGGTGAGAAGATAGAAGGTCTGTGAGCGCGTGTCTCCATGTTCAGGGGTGATGTTGATGTCGCACACTTGATAGACCCTGGCCAGGCGTCGGAGGTAATGGCCCACTAGGGAAGCCTGACAGCTGAGCCCACATGAAGATATACTTGTTCACATACACTCATGCACAAATTCACCTCACACAACTCTTTTTGTCACTGATGGACTACACTAATGCTGTGTGGCAAACACACATGTCGTGACGTTAAAGGTCTGAAGTGATCACTTGTAACAGAATAATGCATTATGCCCTCTTTCCTGAACACACACACACACACACACACTCAATAAATGCCGTTTTAGAAACCATTCACCATATCTCAAGCACAGAGGAGGTTGCTAGTCTGCAGAGGATAAAAAAAGAGGGTGTCTATGTAAACTGTGCTCTTTTATCCAGAATGGGCCACCTCAGTGAATTAAGAGGCCATTCCTTTTTCGTGGACATCTCTGATAACCTCAACCTTGATGACCAGCATTTCTCATTACCTCCTACACCACTGTGAGCCGTTTTGTTCTTCTGATTGTAGTAGTGCATTTTGTTTTCATTCCTGCTTTTTGCCTCACCCTGTGGAGACACCTGATGTCTGCAGAATATGTGTATGGTAAAGTACCAGAGCCAGTGTCAAAACAGATACAGCATCTTCTTTTCTGACATTCACCACTTGCCTGGACAACGTATAAAGCATCCTCTGATGCAAGGTTTTGCAAAAGGCCCCTGTAATATCTACAGAATCCTCCCCCCAATTGAGGCTTCTAATACAGTTGTCCATCAGACTTCAAACCCCCATCCCTCATAAGCACACCTGGGAATGGAATATTTCATTAACTGCTTGGCTGGAACAACTGCAAGATTCTGTCTTATTACAATCAGATTGCTTGTTTGCATGGAGGTGTTTGCAATAATATGTCTTTGTATTCTCATAAAGTCATTATCCCTCTGTCTGGGGCCTGCAGAGTGTGCGGTAAGACCATTTCTCTCTCCCTAATTTACTTCCCTGCTACCCAATCTAGCCAGCATTCTCACAACCGCTTTGGTGTTTGCGAGCATAAGAGTTCACTCCATCTCTGTGAGCATAATAACCTGTTCTATGAAAATAATCGTGAATTACTTACTGCAATTTTGTTTACCTGTGCACTTACAATATGAGCAGCAATAGATTATTTTTCTTTATCACGAGAAAAGTTATATCGAGGCATTATTCACAGGTGAGAAAGGAAACTTACATGGTAAGAGCTTTTCATTCACAAATCCCTCTCACGGAGGAGAGACTAGGCAGTAACAGAGATAGGTGGAAGCTGTTTCTTACCGGGAGAAGTATAAGAACCGGATGACACAAAGACTTCAGCTGAAATGCTCATTTTCCGTCATGCAGTAATTATCCCTCACTCATGCAGCACATCACTGCTGGTTCACAATCATGCTTTCTTTTCTTGCTGCCTTCTGTGCCCTCATTTGATCCTTAATGTCCTCACCGTCCAAGCACTTACATGGACACCATATTTTCTTTTTGGTTTGATTTTCTACATATTTTCTACAACAAGTACCATGGGTTTTTTTCTCTGATCCCCCCAAGCTTAAAATTTCTTTTGTCTGCTCTCTCTACCTCACAGCCTGAAGCACCTATCCTCCTGCTCAGTACGTGAGCTCCAACCGCCTTCTCACCCCTGTCCTACACTTTATCCTCTGATATGACATTGTCTTTCAGGTCCTGTCTTATCACCAGGGTGGATTGATATCTTAAGGCAGGTTTATTTATCATAACACTGTGGTTATGTGAAGGGACTTCAAAAATAGCCCCTGATGATGCTTTGTATGAGTCAAGTACAGGAGGGAGCGATAGCTCACGCAACACAGAGCAAATCTTTTAGCAAGCCAGAGCCTTTGCAATTTGTATTGAGGTCAGGGCCTTGCTCTGCTCTGATATGAAATGGCAATTTTAGGAAGTTTATTTCAGGACAGCTTCATACAGTTTGAATTACTCTGCAAGGGTATGTCTATTGTTCTTTTTTACAATTGTATTGATTAATTCATTTACAAATTTCACCACGGAGCATAAACAAAGATTACAAATGATAACCACTACTATCTTTATTTTCTGAATCATCACCATTAAGGAAACCAAATTGTGTGTCACAGAACATTGTTTTGAGTCATCTCAAATAGATAACCTCCAGCCAAAAATTTTTTTTATCCAAAACATTTTCAATATCCATGATAGATTTCACTCACTAAATCTGATTCAGTGTCATTGAGGATTAGTTTGTCTAGGCATCTGTTTTGGCTTTTTGATATGAGCATTGCCCCTGATGTGCTCTGTGTGACTGCATATTGTGGATATGGTTTCAATCTGGACAAAATCATCTAAATGCTGTTTGTTAACAACTGAAGGGTAAGAACAATTAAATCAAATTGTTTTTGTTAAAGATGACATTTTAACTGTCAACCTCTGGATCAAATAGCATTCGTCATGAACAGGTTGATTGCCATTGGTACAGAGTGAGATCTCAGCTCCACAGTGCATGAAGCAGAAACAGAAACCTCAGCTGTCTATTGTTTTGTTTACACTTACAAACCAACTCGAATATTCTGACATCATTCAACCATTTAAAACTTGACAAGAGTTCTCATGTTTTATAACTTGAAACTCATGCAGCAGCACTTGTCAGACTACAGCTGGCCACAAGTTCAAAATTAAGACACAGACTCTGAAGAAAACTTACCACGGTTAAATGCTACTGCAAAATGTTTTAACCTTGTTGACAGTTTGCATGATATAAAACATTGAGTAGAGTAACAGTTCAAACTAAATGCTAGACGCTGTTAGCGTGCAAAAGCCCATGTATCAATTGAATAGGCTAACATGGCTATGGAATATATTCTTCATGTGCTATGATGTCACAGAAATAATTGTGATTTTCCTGTATATTTGCATAATGCTTTAAGATTGTTGTTTCTGAATGCATTTACACGGCAAGGGTTTTACTTGTGGCAGCCACGGTGACCAGCTATAACGTTTATAGCGTCCTCTGCGTTTGAAAATTGCAGCCAAATTGCTCCATCACATCCTGAGATCCTTGTTCACTACAAAAAATATCTTGCAAGGAAAAATTTGAAAAATCCTCCCTTTGCTGAAATGATGCTTGATTAAATATTCCCTTTCCACTGCTGTCACCAAAGGAGGGAGCCCCTGAATTCCTTGTGATGTTTTTTTTTTTTAATCTGTCAGCACTAGAAGATAATCTTTAGCAGACAAGTTATTATCTCATACACACAACATAATATTGTGTTATTGTTGCTTGCAAAAGATTAAAACAATGTAACTGGCGGCTTTTCGGGGCCTTCATACTCCATGAATCTACAGAGGTATCACATTGTCCTGTGCAAAAATAACTCCCCATGCTGTTTGAAATTCTGCCGTGTTGCCTGTGCTCCCCCGTTCATGTTCCTGCTGCTCTGTGTGTGTCTCTGTGATGGGTGTGGTGCTCCTCTCACTCTTCCAGCTCCCTGATTGCTGATCAGCATGCACACCTGCTAACCATCCACTCATCAGCCCAGCAGTGCATCAGCGAGCTTCTTCATCTACT